CCAGGAGATCCTTAAAAAATGGACCCTTTCATATTTTGTCACCGAACACCCCCCCCTCTGTGTAAGATGTGCCCCAGGGGATTGTGGGTTATTATGCTAATGACCCCTTTGATGACGACTGAAATCTAAAATTCCCGGCCCCGTCTGCTCCCCATCTCCGCCCCCCCCTCGCAGTGGGTCTGTTGGGAATTCGGAGCAGCTCGCCGGGGGCTCGCAGACAGACCCCGCCCCGGCTGAGGGCTTTGCATGTCGATTAGCGGCTCAGCCTCAGAAGTTTTCGGCTGCGAACTCTAATGAGACGCAAGGACGCAGCTCCTCGTGCGACTGCGCAGGTCCCGCCGTCGTCACGCATCGCAGACGACATTCACAGCAATCTGCCAGCCGCACGCCGTCCTCGCCAAACCTGATGGACAGAATAAATCCATATATAAACAGAAAGCTGCATGTTTACGGAACACCACCAATACTATCGTTATTAAATCACCGCGGGCCGGCGTTCACCGTCACACCAACGTCGTGTGAATGTCGCCATAATGCTTTTGTCAATAGTGCATCTGGGCCGGTGTACAGATTCAGGAGTAGAGCTGTGATTTACTGCCTGATAGCAAAGAGCTGCTTTATTGGAAGCAGGAGGAGTATTTACAGGGCTGTGGTCACTAATGGGGGGTCACTCTGGGATGGGGGGAGGTCGCTTCAAGCAAATTCGAGATCATCATTCTGTGAGTGGGCCCCCACCCACCCCAAAAGACTTGCTTCATGCAGCTATGGTGCATTCAGACAATGCATTTGGGCTCCCAAAGGTCAGGGGCCCCCTGTTGGCCACAGACGGTCACTATACTAGGGGAGATGGTTGAAAAGCACATCATGCTGCCTTTTCAACATATACTAATAATTGTCGTGTACACAGAGGTCCCTGTTTGACTGGCGACAGGCAGCCAGAAGAGTACATACGTGGCTCCTGGTAAAGCGTTTTGCGCTGGGGAATCAGCTGTGTGGAGAGCAGCCAATGGAAGCAGCAGGGCTGAGTGATGTCATCTGCTGAGGGGGCGGGGTTTGTGTGGTACAGTGCAACAACTGGCATTTATGTCCAGGTCGAACTTCCTGAGTCAGGACCGTGAGAGAGAGAGAGAGAGAGAGAGAGAGAGAGACCTGTCCGTGGGCCATCTGTTAATCTGTTAGCCCTCTGCTTCACCTGGAGTTTGGGATGACTTGCAGAAAGATAAAGTCACTGATGTTGTTCCTTTGCTTGCAGTCATCCTCAGAAGGACGAAAGGAGGGAGGGGGGAGGGGGGGAGAAAACAGCAAACCTAATCAATTTATGCAAATGAAGCTGGATGAGATCGTCCCTGCTTGGAGATTAATGGCTTCCCTGCACCACGAGAACAAAACTTACTTTCTTTTTTTTTGCTTTTGGTTGTAATTAACATAAATAAATGGGTTTGATTAACGAAGAGCATATAATACGGTCTCGTTCCCAAAGGCATATGAAAATTAGTTTTATTTCTTAATTTAATTTAAATTATGCAAAACATTTGAAGTGCCTCCCCCCACCACTGGGGGGACAGGGGGCTTTACTTCCTCCACTCTCACGACCGGGGCAGCAGGATCCATGGCCTTTACCGGCGGCTCTCTGTCGCGGTGTCTGACAACGTAATTGTACGCTGCTCCTGTCTTTTCCTTGTTTACTCACTCCAGTGCCTATTTCTGTGAGAGCCGGGCGTGCCCGGCCTGCTTTAATGGCTGCTATTGCCCTCCTCCTCCTACTTAATTGAAAACGGCCTTTGTTGGCCCGAGTCGAACGAAAACAGCGATTACAGGCGCTGACTGCAGGGTAGGGTGTAGGACAGTCGGAGCTCCGCCCCCTACTTTGGTGACCCCTGGTGGCAAAGTTGTACAGCTGCAGCTAAGCTACGGCTTGGACTGACTGGCGTGGTCTTAGCCGAGGTCTGCTCAAGACAAAGCAGTTTCGGTGTGGAGAAACTTTTCAATTAGTTGCCTAATTGATTGTTGATGCCTCCCACACTATATGGTTCTGACAACTGGGTCTCCTTGCCCTTTATTTGGAGCTTGTCCTCCTGCTGTGGGCCCACTGGTTCCGGACACACTCATTATGGTCAGCTGGGTTGGGACTTCCCTTCTGCGGCTGAGTGAATGTACCACATACCTGTGACCAGCAGGGGGCGCTGCACTCGAGCAGCATGCTGCTAATGCTCTAGTCCAGTGACGTTCACGCAGTACCTTCTCTAACGGTTTGTCCATCTTTTTTTCCCCATGCAGCCAAAACTGATGGCAAAGGACCTCCTGGATCTGGTGGCATCTCACTTCAATTTGAAAGAGAAGGAATATTTCGGAATATCTTACACAGATGACACGTGAGTGTGTTTGATGGATATAAAATGTATATAAATGATTTCAAAGGTTGTGTAATTGTGGTGGGGTAGACGTTTTATTTTGCCCTACAATAGTCCAGCAGGCTTTGTCTTTCCAAACAGCAGTTAAATTGCTGCTGAGTGCTGTTACAGCTACAAAATTAAGAGACCGCTACACTGAGCATCAGGCTGCTTCCAGGCTCAAAGTTTCTACGACAGCAGTGTCAACTGAACAAGGCGAAGCAGGAGACACTGGGAATGACCAAAGACCAGTAAGGCAGAGGAAGCGACCTTCTAATGCCAGAGATTATGTCAACAGAGATGAAATCTGTGCCCCATAAATCAGAGGATGACCTCAAGTGACCTTCAAACGGAATGGGAAACATTAAGTGGTGTGAAGTGCACTGCTAGGACAGTTCATCTCAGGCTCCTAGAAGCAGGACTGAAGTCCCACACAGCAAGGAAGAAGCCCTTCATTAATGAGAAACAGGGAAGAACCAGGTTGGAATTAAAAGAAAAACAACTATATTTTAATATACATAAATTGAGAAATGAGTGAAATTGAAAATTTTGCTGTGATCTCTTAATTCTTTCCAGAGCTGTATAACCTGTTGGCACCGGTAGGTTATTGGGTTGCTACTGCTCTCATATCAAAGTGGCACGGCAGACAGCTGCTGTAACCTGCGCTTGCCCGAGTGCAATGGCTCAGCCCCCCAAAGGGCGACAGCTTCCCAAACGCTTCTCGACAGCAGGCTGAGGTGTTCGCCGTGTTTAATTCCCCGGTCCAGGGGCCGTTCCGGGTCACTGGCTTCCTCTCTTCAACACGGGGCGTCCCGGTGTCAGAGCCACCTGCCTGCCGTTCTGCTATTTCTTTATTTTATTTCACACTTTTGAGGGTGAGACGCTCACAGGAAGAGTGTGAACCTCTACCTTCGCTGCTGGTGATTCGCAGGAGAAGAATCTAAGCATGGGGAAGAGGCCTTTACAATACTTCCTGAAAGCTAGACTCGACAAAGGCAACATTTCTGTGTTTCCAAGGATGGGTAACGCCGTGGAACCCTGCGGATGATTACTGTATCTGTTTTTGTCCTTCCTACTCTTTGATTTTTAAAAGGTTGAAAGGAGGGATTTATGGGAATTAGGTTCCTTTAAGATGAAACCTCAAAATCCTGTTTCTGACGTCTCTCTTTATAGGGGTGTGTGTGTGTGTGCACATTAAACTGACTCACTGTCTCTCTAACATACGGATGTTAGCATTTGCATCATCATTAATATCATTTGGCTGGTTCCGGGTTACCCAGGACCGTGGAGGACATTTTTGTGCCTCTGGGGTACCAGTGAAATAATCTGTAGCTCATGACTTAAAGTGACTTAAAGATTATGGACGACTGTGTAAGATTGTGCTGAATGTTTGTCCACCAGGGGGCATTTCAGCTGGCTGCAGTTGGATCGCCGGGTTCTGGAGCACGAGTTCCCCAAGAAGTCTGGACCGGTGGTTCTGTTCTTCTGTGTCAGGTGAGCCGCCCGCCCCCCCCCCCCACATGGACTATGCTTCCAGCACCACCTGCGTCGTAGTCGCTGTCCCTTCAATGGGCCTGTGTTTGGTGTGTTTGCTGCACAATTCGTGGGCTATTCTCCGACGTGTTGGGTCTGGTGTCCGGATCCGGTGCCAAGCGACGGCGACAGGGCAGCCAATCGCGGGCCCCCCTGCGTGGCGAAAGCACTCGCGCTCCTCAAAAACAGCTGCCGTGTGCGTTTGTCTGATCGCGTTGCCAAGGCACCGGGTTTCCAACCGATTAAACGTGAGCTGTGGAGACGACCCAACTGGCCGCAGCGAAAAATAGAGTCTGTTTTGTTTGTGCCTGCGTGAGACAGAGTTAAAAGTCCTTGCGTGTGTGTGTGTGTGTGTGCGTGTGCGTGTGTGTGAGAGAGAGGGAGATTCATGTGGTTTTTCCAGTTTGTGCTTTTCTGGGAAAACAGCGTCTCAAGCCTTAAAGCAGGAGTCGCCGTCGAGACACCCAGAGAGAAGCGGCGCACTTCATCTCCGTGCCGCACGTCCCAGCGGCGTCTCCGGGGCTCTAGGGCACTTCAGGGCTTTTCTGCAGAGGTGGGGGGGGGGGGCACTTTTCATCATTGCAGTCTCAAACAGCCTTGGAGTGGCTCCTGCTTTTCAGAATACTGAGGGTGGTCTGTAAACACCGTCTGCAGCTGAGAAGTGTCTGTGCAGTCAGGGGCACCTTCAGAATAGGGCCAGGCAGGGTCAGGACTTTCACTGGTCCGAAATTTCGAGAACTGATGGGCAGCCACTTCAGCCCCCACCACTGTGTAGCCCCCACCTGGATGAAGCCATTCTGCAACAGTACGCTCACCACACAGTAGCTAAGATGCGGAAGAGGCAGGAGAGAATTCACCAGTTAGATGTAGCGGGTGATTAGGAGGCCACATTTGAAAGGGCCACAGTGGGAAATTTTAGCCAGGAGATCGGGGCACCACCCCCACTCTAAGCAGCCACCTGGGGCGGCATCTTCTGAAGGGGCGCTGAGTTAATGAGGCACTTTCACTTGGGGGTGGGCGGTGACCACGTGAAGCTTCCCTTTTTCACTGGTCAGAAATTTCGACCGCCTCTGGTCAGATGATTCTCACTGGTCAGACATTTCGACCGCCTCTGGTCAGATGATTCTCACTGGTCAGACATTTCGACCGCCACTGGTCAGATGGTTCTCACTGGTCAGATGATTTGCATCGCCACTGGTCACACATTTTAGAATTCTTTTTACCTTCTGTTCGGAAGTTAGGTTTATTCACTGGGCTGAAATTGCAAACGGTCATCACTACAGGAGGTTCACAGCGGAGGTGAGAAACGTCACAAATTTAACTATATTAGACTGAACCGCCTAGGATAAATTACACCAGACTGGTGGTGATAATTAATAGCAGCAAATTAGTGGGTCGATTACAGCAGAAAGGCATCAACTGTTGTAAAATTGGCTCTGACCCCGATGTTAAATTTCTTCCACGGGGTACCGTGCAAATATCCCCCATTAATCCCAGCTGCGGACAAGTGTGTTAATCACAGCCAACATTCAAGGGCTTCCCCCTGACCCCTGTTTTACTACAGCAGAAGGTAGTGAATTTGCCTCCAAAATGGATTTTCTTCAACCTTGTCTGAGACTTTATGTGCAATGAAAGTACAGAGGCGGTGAAGTGCTGTGTGCTTCTGTCTATAACCAGAGTCAGGAACTTCTAGATCGATTCAAAGTCACCTACGATGACGTCTTTGCACGGTCTCCTCAAAAACGTCAAACTGTCAGCTAATATGGGGAGGTCTTTTAGAAGACGTGCCCTCAGGTGACACATTCAAACCTTCCCGCATGAGCAAATCCCATCTCTGTCCGACGGGCGGGTCCCGGACCTGACGGCTTGACGTATTCCAGATTCACGGCTGCATTTCTGTACGTCTTTGAGCCGTGGACCTGCCAGGTATTTAGTAAGACCGGAGTAATCCGCGCAGCGTTGCTGGTAGATGTAAGCCCTTCATTACACAGGATGTTTTAACATAAAGATGAAGTAAATGCTGCATTCTCGGGTGATGTCAGGTTCCGCACTGGACCGCCTGACCGGCGGAGCTCCACGCAGACACTCAGGAAGTTACTGAGATGGCTGCATGTTCATGCTGGAGTTATAATGGACAAGTCATGACAGTCAACAGCAGCGTTTACCGGGACCCAAGGTTTTGGGAGCCCCTGCTGGCCACAAACTGTCACTACATTAGTGAGCCAAGGAGCCCCAAAGTGACTTTTGTGTGGGGCCCCTTGTTGACAATGTATGCAAATAACATGTTTTATTCCATGCTTCTGTGACCCCCTGCCTCTCTCTCTCTCTCTCACACACACACACATTGTCAGAATGCCCTAAGGGGGTCCTGCCCTTCAGCAGGTTATACAGATGTTCTGGTCTCTCATTGGTCAATCAGGTCTGCTCTGCCCGCCTCCGGTCACATGGCATGCGGGTGCAGACGTCTCCCATGGGCGGTCATGCGATCTCGCGTGGAGCCTTGGAAATTTCCGGAAGGCACAGCTGTCAAAGACAGCAGGATGTGCGGCGGCCGGCGCCGTCTCGGTCTGGGAGCAGATGCGCTGTCTCCTTGCTGGGTCGCTTCTGGGAGTGTGACAGTGGTGACGGTCGTCTAATGAGAAGCCGCGGGACCGGGGACACTTACAAGGGCAGGCAGTCTACAGTACACAATTTAATTTGTGTATTTTTATAAACAGGCATCTAATAGAGGGCGTTTGTTTAGCATTCACCTTAAGGACTGCCTCAAAGCTTGACCTCAGATGGGGGGCTGAGCTGATTGTCCAAGCTTCTCAGACTTGAGCCAGCCACTGGTGTTATGTGATTTATGATGCCATACTGAGATTTGGCCTCTAGAGGGCGTTCGTTCTGCATGAGCCAGTCCTATTGGAAGCTGGGTAAAAGAAGAGCAGGCCACCTGTGTGGGCCGGCAGCCTGTCCCTGCGGGCCGAAGTTAACGGCTTTGCCCAGCAGGGATCTGCGAGACAACAGAACAGTTAAGTGGATATGAGCTGATTCTTAGGATGGGGAGGATTTGCGGCTTTCGGTGCCACCCTGGTCCTTGCCGGCGGGGCTCCGCCTCGCAGAGGAGCGAGAACATCTGGGACCAGGGCAGGGGATGGAGGCGCAGTGTCTGACAGAGATGTTAGCGTAGATGTTTGGCTCGACGGTAAACTACGGGAGGATATTTTTGGTGGATAGTTCCAGAGATGATGTCACATTCCGCTCCCCTGTCCGTCCTTCGAGGGCTTCAGTACCTCCCGGCGGGCTGCTGAGCTTCTTATGCTCTATATGGTCAGGAGATCAGCCAGCCTGTGCTCTGTAAGGGACCTTCTGGGCTTCAGGAGTCTCCATTGTGTTTAAATTACAATAAGTGCTCTCGAGTGGCCACATTAGACAGAAGTGGTTCGGTTTGTTTTGGTTGCCACAAGAGGTAATTTCGAGACAAAGGGTACCGCGGTAAACAGGGATCTGAGGAGGACATTACTTATATGGGTCACAGGTCCGTTCCAAGGAACACCAGCAGGGCCAGGGAGGGTCTGTATGTAAGGATGGGAGGGTCCACTGTGTGGGGGGGGGGGGCTGCAGGAGGTGCGAGGTGGAGGAAGGACAAGGAGGGAAGCTGGAAATCCCAAACCGCCTGCGCATTCTGACAGAATTACCGCAGCCGTGACGAGCTGATAGGTACTAAATCCGCAGGGGGCTGCGCCGGCATTGCAGGTGTCTGCAGGTTTGTCTGTTACTCCAGGTTTTAAAAGAAACAAATAGCAATTCTTTGTGAGTCTTGAGGGAATCTTTTACAGTCCATGACATCGTATATGAAAGCAGATCAAGTGATAACAGCACAATGACTGCGGACGGGAACAATGGCGGTAATCGCTACGCGCGCCGGGGTCTCCCCATGCCTCTGCAAGAGCTCCTTTTGTTTCCCAGTTCCTGGAACAGGATGCTGTCCGGGCCCGACACCCCCCCCCCTCCCCCAGCCCCCTGCACTGGGAGTTTTTATGGCCTTTCCTTTGCACCTGAAGGATTTCCATTTCAGCTGAGCCAAGCTGATTGCAAAACACGCTCAGTCCAGCCCCGGCGAACCCGGGGCCAGCTCTTAAAGAGACGGTAATGTGAAACACATGGCGGCAGCGCCAACGGACCGAGGAGGGAGCCTGGCGTTGCTGTACCCTGAGAAAAGCCCTGTAACCAAACCACTGATCGCCACTTAAAAAAGGCAGAGGAGCCGCCCGGGTTCTGAGCCGCTCTCTGCCCCAGACAGTGAGATGATGCCAGGTGTTTGTTTCTTGTTTATGGGGCCACACTGAAATAGTCACTTCGGGGCTCTCCGCACCCTTAGCGTAATGACTGTCTGCCACCAGCAGGGGGCCCCCAAACCTCTGGGGCCTAAAGCCAATGCGTGGATTGGGTGGTGGTAAATACCACTGCTGGATGGCGCACTGGGTGTTTTTTGAACACTGTAGCCCAGTCTACAAATCACATACAGCCCGAAGCAGATTGTTGTGATTAAGATCTCGCTCATTTTCTTTTGATTAACCAGCGTTTGTGAGCCTCACCTCAGTTAAAACTCTCCGAGGTCGATTTGCATGGCCGCTGGTACCGTGATTTAGTGTTTGCTGCCCTGCAGTGTCGAGCTGCGGCGAGCTGGGCTATTCATGCATGCTGGAGCCAGCAAGGTAATATACAATCGCTGAACACTAAAACACAGTGTCTTGTTGCACGATGGTGCTATTTTACTCCTCGCATCAGCGTTTCTATGATGTTATTTTTCTGTCACGATGGTCCCAGAAGACCAACAGGGACACGGTAGCTGAGATTTAACCCTCCGGATGGTATGGGTGCGGAAAAAGCTGCTTTGCATGGATTTTCCACAGATATCAAGGGTCGCTGTACCACATGTATGACAGCAGGGGTCTTCTTAAGAAACGCCAAGCTTGTGTGATTCTGTCAGGCCAAACCCACTCAAGTAGTATTTCATAAAAAGGGAAGCATGCGGTTTTTTTTTTTGCCATCCAGTGTGGCAAGTGTCCCTGCCAAGGACTCCAGAGGCAGAGGGAGGCTGGGATTATCACTCCGCCCCTTGTCTTGCTCCTCGGCTTCAGCCATTGGCCCATGCTTTGATGGCGCTAATGCTGATTGGAGGATGGGGGCTGTCATGTTGACAGGGCCCCGGCCCTGTGTCTCAGCCTGGCTTTGAAGGATGCTGTTATCATGGGCATGCCAGCCGTAGTAGCACAAACAACATGCAGCGAGTCAATGTGGAATTGCTATGGACATGTTCCGCAAACACCCCCCTCCCTCCCCCCATCTTCCTTCATGGGAAGACAGAGATGTAGTAATTTACATCTAGTTGGATTTTCTGTCGCTAAGCAAACCGCCCGAAAAATCACTGTGCAAGAAACATGATGAAAATTTTGGCCAAATTGCATCCAAGGTCATGTTCTTGTGCACACTGCCCCCTAGTGGTATATTGTAGTAGTCTGCACATATAATATATGCATGATGCTGAAAGCATTGATGATAAGGCCTGCTGAATATTTATGAAGAAGCTCAAGTTCAGTCGGATGTCCTGTAGATGGCATGATACTTAAATAAAATGTGATTCCACAACTCACTGAACTTTACTCTCCATTGAACTGGTAACCTGTAAGATGTACTTGAGCATGGTACCCAATACTGCATGGGATCCAGGCCCTCTGTAACTCTGACCAAGCATTTAGAAGACAGACGGATGGACGGACGGATGGATGGATAGATGGAATTACTTTATAAAACTGCTTTCTAAACTTGTAAAACTTTAGTGAAATGGGTGTGGGTTTTTTCTTTTATTTACTGGGATTAAAGATTTTTTTTCTTAAAAGACAAAGCAGTAATGTTTAAACTCCTTGACAAGTCGGCCAGACACGTTGTCACGTAGTGACTGCCCCGCGGTGATTCATTTCATGTTTGAAATGGCTATTTTCCAGGTTCTACATCGAGAGCATATCCTACCTGAAGGACAATGCCACCATTCAGCTCTTCTTCCTCAATGCTAAATCTTGTATCTACAAGGTAAGCCGCCTCTTTTTTTTCCCCTGTGTGTTGCTCTCATCACTATTTTGATTTATGAGACTACATTTGTGACACAAGATCATGGCTGTTGCAATGTCAGCTGTGCGCCAGCAGGGGGCAGATCGAGCTGAGACAGAAATCAGTGATAGCCTGGCGATACAGTTCACACTGTGGGCAGTACTATTCTTCACAGCTGAGGCTCTGTCATAGTAATGCTGCCTGTCTCGTCATTCGGGATCCTGTACGTTTCTTCAATGATTTTTTGTGAATGTGAAACTGTCATTGTTGCCTCTGAATCTGTATATGAATCTATTGACTGTGGGCATTTGTCCAGGTAATCTATTGGAGGGTCCAGAAGATAACTGCTCTCTGCTTCACTCTATTATTCAGAAGCTCCATTGCTGATTAGAAGAGTACTATAGACTCACTGATTTATTGAGGTTGTCTTCTACAAGTCTAGCACTGAATGACAGAGAAACGTTTGCAGATCGCCAGTTTCGGAAGTGACTGCCTAAGTGTGGAGCCTATTTAAATCTTGAACGGCCCTGATGCATTTTAAAAACAGCGGTTCACTTGCACTGCCTCCCCGTGTGAGTAATAGCTCATTCCCCCAAGCGCAGTCTGCGTGATTTGTTTTTAAACAGCATCTGAGAGCGTCAGCTCTTCACGGCACAGGACTCTGCTTGGATAGTCGTTGATCAAACAGCCTTTGTAAGGGTAAAGATGCATAGGGTGTTAGTGTCGAATCCAGGTCAGGTCGTCCAGAACCCCCCCCCTCGATTCCCCTCTTTCCCAGTCCCACCGCCATCGCTTGCTTTAGGGAGGCGTGGTGAATCATCTCTGCAGCCCAGCAATGCATCATTATGACACATTCCTGATGCTGCTTTGTCTTGTCACTTCCACTCATTATGGACTGGAGCAAGACCACCAGGATCCTGACCAGAAGATATATACAATACCTCTTCTTCTCCATGCCCCCTGTTTTGAGGCCATATCCTTTAAAGCAGTGTTTCCCAATCCGGTCCTCGGGGACCTGCAGGCGGTCCATGTTTTTGCTCCATCCCTGCTCCCGGTAACTGTCGGGCAGGGAGTTTGGAGAGAGACAAAACGTGGACCGTCTCTGGGTCCCCAAGGACTGGGTTGGAAATCGCTGCTTTAAAATTTTCTCGCCAAGCAGACGGCGAGACACACAGACAGTCTGCCCGCGTCCTTCCAGATCGAACTGATCGTGCGTTCAGCCCCTTCTTTCAAGAAGAGCTTCGACCTCTGCTTACTGTCAAGATCAAGGCAGCTTCCCTCATTAGAAGAAGAGATCTTTCTCAGAGATTCTAATTAAATCTGAGTGGTTGGCATACAAGTCCTCTTTGTCTGGCATCACTCAGGCCGTGAAAATAGAACTTAAAAGGAGAACTACAGTGCCTGAGAGGGAGGTGTCACCATGCAGTGGTCTGGTCTTCCAGACTCCGCCCCCTTGCTCTGATTGGCCAGAATCAAACACTTTTTATAGAGCAATACAGTTATTGGTTATTGTTATAACCAGTTAATGTTATTGTTGCCTGTTCCGTCTGCATCCCTCTGTTAAGTATTGATGCTTGTTTATCTGAAAGTTTAATTCAATATTTTGCTATATATCTCTGTCACACTGATAGAAATTCCTTTTAATGGGATGGTTTGTGATAAAATGATTCCGGTGTCCTAAAAGTGTCCTGATTAGTGATGCTCCAGCAAGAATAGCGGAGGCCCGTGGTCATTGGGCCTCGTTATCCAGGTACAGAAGGCTGTCCATGACACAGACTGACAAAGCCGGCTTCTCTCACTGCCTTTCAGGAGCTCATTGAGGTGGACAGTGAGGTGGTGTTCGAACTGGCCTCCTACATCCTCCAGGTGAGATTCCCAGGCTGCTGTCTGAAGGACTTGCTCTTGCCAAAGCCACATTGGGTCTACTTGCTGTACTGCACCAGTCACTTCTGACCACTCCCAGCTACAGACACCTTCCCGATCAATGGATAAGTGAAATTCTATTTCCCGTTCCGTGTGTAGGAGTCTTTTTTTTTATTGCTTTCCTTTGAACACATGTTCTTTACTGCCTCCTTATTCAAGTCGCCGAAACTATTAAGTTTTGGCTAAAGATCGCAACGAACATTACGTCGCAAAAGCTGTTCTGTTTCCCTTAAACTCTCGCACGCACATGGATTTTGATTAAAGCAATCCGGCCGGCCACATATTTGATCTAACCTGTGAGTCATTGTAATTTACAGCAATATTATGGCTAAGTTTGGCCCTTTTATTCAACATCAGCAAGTGATAGCTGCTCATGAGAGGAAGCCTGTAGATTCAGGAAATGAGGTCGTTGCCGTTTTTTTTCCAGTCAGGTTATGTGCGTGTTTTCAGTAAGAGTACACTGCGAAATTCCACGGTCGGGAGTTCCATGGTTAAACTGATTTTGCTACTGACGTTTTGTCTGTTTTGTGCTCAACATTATGTCAGCGGTGACCTCAAGACGCCCCTGCATTTATACAAAACAAAAACGTTGCTCCTCAACAACTCTTGGTGGATTTCATAACCCCCCCCCCCCTTCCCATCTCAGCCCCAAAGATCCAGGGCTAAAGCAGCGACAGTAAATTATTCATAACCTCCTTCCAAACTTCCAGACTAGCACATGAATAAGAAATCAAGGCAGGATCCCCGCTCCTCGTACATGGAACGATTTAATCTTCTTGTCGGAAGTGCTCTGTCTTGGGGTTCCTCCAAATGAGCCCTGGAGCTGAAAGGTGTTACGTTCCTGCGCCGGGGAGTGCATGGTGGGGGGGGGTGCAGGGGGGGTTGAATTAAAGCCCAACAGGTTATTAAAAAACAGTCCAGCAAGGGAGCCTGCAGGTGCAAAAATATCAGGTGTCCGGGGTAAAATGACCTTCAAGGGATTTTCTCAGACGGCGAAGCGATCACATTTCCCAGCATCCTCAGCACAGGCCTGAATGAGCACAAGGACCCCCCCCCCCCACTTAATTAATTCACCCAACCCCTCTCACACAGGAAGCAGGAGTCGTGTGTAGATTTACAGTCAAAAGGATACGTTTAAGGATATTCATCTGGGTTGTAAGTGTATATCTGCTCAGAACAAAAAAAATGCTTTAACATTAGAACATATGGAAATTAACCAATGTTTAACAGAATAAAAATAATGAAAAGGAATTTCTTCCATTCACCAAAAACTTACTGATATCTTGTCAGACAGCTAGATGAACAGCGATTTGGTTTCCAAACCTCTCCTCAGGGTCACCGCAGCCATTCCCTGTATTTGTTTAATTTCACCACCGGCTCAATCAATTTATTATTTAATTAGTTAAAGAGTCAATGAGAAATTGATTAGCTATAGGAGGGATGCTAGTGGTTGAGTCAAAAAGCACATGGGGGTGTTAGATAGCTTTGACAGATATCATGGCTTTACACCCACATTTACGCCTCGTTTACGCACCATTTTCTTTGACTGCCTTTGACATTTGCACAGTCCTGCACACGAATGCGTCTTCTGACACTTTACTCATTCTCTGTCTCTCTCTCCTTAACCAGGAAGCAAAAGGCGACTTCTCCAGGTAAGGACACACTCGAGCAGTACTCTGTCATATACTCGAGCAGTACTCTGTCATATACTCGAGCAGTTACTCTGTCACATACTGAGCTTTAGCAAATGGCCTAGAGTGACCAGCTGTGGTTGGAGCAAGTGAGGACACATGCTGGGGGGGGGGGCAGTGGTGTTGGCTTGGGGGTAGGTTAAGCAGAGTGTACAACAGTGCAGCCAGGTTCCGAACCTCTGAACCATACTGGCCCAAGGCTGTAATAAATGATAATCACAGGATTTGCCCTCCGCCACACACATCTCCCTCCTCATCATGTTCTGTGCATTTTTAGTGTCTTTTCATACAGAATAGTTCACAGCAGTTTTTCAGCTCTTTGTGGGGCTGACAGAGACATTATGCAGTGCACTGTGTGGCTACCAGCACTGCACAGACCAGGGCCCTCCTAGTCCGCTTTTTGTTAAATAAGCATCTTCAGCTTTCACGGAGTTCTCAATGAAGCGGTGGTTGCTCGGCAACAGTGCGGCAACAACTCTTCAAGAAGCACTTCAGTTTTACTTTTGTTTGCCGAACAGTTTATTCTTACTGTTTCACATTATCAACATAATGCAAAGATATTAATGAAAACATTTATTGGCTTTAAAAGAAAGTGAACGACAAAAGTATGAAATTGGATATTTGGAATAGCAAAAAAGTACTGCAATAGATGTGAATTTTATGGTGATAGGAAGTGAATAGGCTGTCACTGCCTTCCTCCTCGTCAGTCTACACTGTGACTGTATGTGCTTCCTAGCATGAGCAAACCTACCTCCTTTCATCCATTCAAGGAACAAGTCATAAGTGCAAAGAAGGGTCATGCCCCCCCCCTGCAGCCCCCACAGTCTCAGCAGCTATGGCTCTCCACCTGTCACCCACCCACACATACACGCCACCCCTTCTCCCCCCACGGAGCCACGGCTCAGTCCTACGGTGCTTTTCAGTCAGTGTGAAATCCGTTCGGGTTGAAGGTTGCGCCGGGCGCCTGAGGAACAGACTGTGCATTGTGCCCAGGAACAATGACGTAGGGAAGGGAAGCAGCGCACTTGGCATCAGCCAGGAGTGTCAGTCTGCTCTCGCCATACAAAGCTGACTTTTGTGAGGCTGTTTTCCACCCTTTTCTTCTCCTTATCCCCTGGCTTCTGACATATTTTCCATGTCCAGGAGACATTGTTTTTGCATTTCTCCGCACATCCTTCCGAAGGCTTCAGGGGGCGCTGGTTTGTCTGTATGAGCGAGCCAGCGGGGAGGAATAAAAAGACAGACAAAAGGCTGTGGATGCTCACAGTACAATTGTTTTTCTGATCCTTAGATTAGAAAAGCGATTAATGAAGCAACTCCGCTTGTTTACCTTCCTCAGATTGTCCCTCTGGAAAACAAGCATATTAGCCTGCAACTTATGATAATGTTTCTGAGCCGCGTTCCTACGGAGTGCAGATGTTTTGGAAGCCAAAAGCAAAAATTGCATTTCTCCCGCCCTGTGGCATGTTGACAAAATGGAACATCGGATGACTTGGGCATCTATCTATCCATCATCCATCCATCTATCTATTTATCTATATATCTAATCGGCTGCTGGGGAAAACGCAAACCTGGGCAGAGAATGAGATGTTCAGGCAGAATTTTGGAGGCACTGCGTTCAGATTCTCTGTGCTGAGGGACAATAATAGTCTTTGCAGACCTACTGTGCCGGCCAGCCTCTAAGTAACAGGGCTTGCGGTAGTAATATAATTATCCTACTGTCACTCTAGCCTTGTTTGTGTGTTTTTAACCTGTAATAAGGTTGTTGACTTTCCAAAATAAGAGGAATAAGCACCAAGTGGAACTAGTCACCTACATGAACGGCCTGGAAAACAAGGAAGGTCAGGGGTCCAGTTATAGATCACTTTGTCAAGACTGACACAAGCCCGAAGTCCAAAGGGTAACCGTCTCCACATGACACGTGGGGGCAGACAGTCAGGCCATATGCTGGGGTTAGGCTTGGGGGAGGGATTCTGTTATCTGAAATTTGATTCAAGCTTTTCAACCGCCCCCCCCCCCCCAATGGGAATCGTCTGTCTTCACTTGATACCTTCATTATGATATATTTATCGTTCATACAGGCAAAGCGGAACTCCCAGCAATGAAAAACATGATGCAACCTCCAAACCATTTGACCAACATTGGCCCAGACCTACATTTCAGATCAGATTAAATGTACCCAGTGCTACGCTAATCAAACAGCTGCATTCCGCCGTGGACCCACTCCTCCCCCGCACATCTTCCCAATACTGAAATTCCATCCTTCGCATTTCATCGAGACGAACCATATTTAGCACCTCTAGATGTTGTCGGGTCGTGTTAGTCATTAGCCTGTGGCTGTTGGGGGGCCGCGGTTCTGTTCTTACCGTGTTCTGCCTCTTCTCGTGTTACATCATCAGCGATGACGCCACCCGGGCCGATTTGAAGAAGCTGCCAGCTTTGCCCACCCAGGCCCTGAAGGAGCACCCATCGCTGGCCTACTGGTAAGTGGCAGCCCCTGGAGAAGGTGACAGACCTCATAACGTCGGGAAGCCCTCAAAGAAGCTATAAGCACAGTCTATATATATGCTGAAAATCCAAAACGATGGTGATAAATCCATCTGCTTCCGGGTAAGCTTTAAGTAGACAGTCCTGACTTCATTTTCAGTGGATACCTTAAATTTATACGACTGGAATTAAAATCTTGAGGACACAGATATAGGCATTGTGCAGTTGAGATAAATTGTAAATGAATGTGGATCTTTTTGTAATCTGACAGTTGAATTCAGAAATACTGTAAGGTTTTATTTCAGTCCCAGGAGCTGAGTTTGATCTTGAATATGTCCAACATGTTGTCATAGGATTTGCACGAAGTCTCACTGTTAAGGGTTGTTTTCTTTAGTAATGCCCAAGAAAAGCAGCCCAGCAGAGGAGAGAGGATTTGCAAAATGGGAATAGTGACCAAAAGTATTGAGTTACTTGTGGTGAAACATCAGTTATGCTAATTCAAGGTGGAGCTTCTTAATTATGAGCTAGAGAGTGCTGTTATATAACCTTTTACTTCCTCAATATTACGTTTCTGCTGCCTGTCCCAGCCAGTTCTGAGGTAACTGCTCATATTCATGCCCAGAGTGGGCAGGGTTCCAGCGGGGCAAGCGTGGAGTGGGCGTGGCCCAGGCAAGAGTGGGAGTGGCAATGCCAGGTGTGCAGTGGGTGTGGCCCGCGAAGGCATGGGCAAGCTTTGAGTGAGCGTGGCCCAGGCAGGAGTGGAGTGGGAGTGGCAATGGCAGGTGTGCAGTGGGCGTGGCCCAGGCAGGAGTGGAGTGGGAGTGGCAGGTGTGCAGTGGGCGTGGCTCAGGCAGGAGTGGAGTGGGAGTGGCAATTGGCAGGTGTGCAGTGGGCGTGGCTCAGGCAGGAGTGGAGTGGGAGTGGCCTGTGAAGGCGTGGGCAGGGATTGAGTGGGCGTGGCCCAGGCAGGAGTGGAGTGGGAGTGGCAATGGCAGGTCTGCAGTGGGCGTGGCCCGTGAAGGCGTGGGCAGGTGTTGAGTGGGCGTGGCCCAGGCAGACATGGGCAGTCCACAGTGGGCAGACCCAGCAGGTGTTGGCCAGCGTGCTGGGATCCGGCACAGCTGTCAGACAGAGCGACTCTGCACCATGGCAGCTGCAGACGTCCTCTCCCACCCCCACCCTGCCAAAACCCCACTCAGTAAGTCTGGCTGCTGAAACTAGGAAGCTTGAAATTTCCCACCGTGGAGTCGCTTCTCAAATTTAGAGTCGCTTTTATGCTGAGCATTTGCTTCTTTGGGGGTGCAAGTTCATAAATCACAGACTCTTTCTTAATGTATCTGCATTTATTGCCCTGCTCTTTGCACACTACAAATCCTGTTCCAAAATCCAAATCTTCAGGAATTCGAGAACCAACACTGTATAATTGAACTTTCTTCCCTTGTGGTAAGGGGTACTGTGTCACCATTTGAAAATGAAATGTCTAGTCTGTTTACCAGCTCTGCTGAATTAAATGCTCTTAATCAAATTCGATATCTTACTTCAAATAAGTACAGATCCTCCCCCGGGCTACAATGGGGTTATGTTCCGATAAACCAAAAATATTTTAAGGCAAAAATGCATTTTAATACAGTACACCTAACCTAACAAATGTCATAGCCTAGCCTTAAACATGCTTAGAACACTTACATTAGCTTACAGTTGGACAAAATCAGAAACACAAAGCCTATTTTATAATATCTCATGTAATTTATTGAATAATATACTAAAAGTGAAAAAGAATGGAATTGGAATACCCATCGTAAAGTCGAAATATCGTAACATAGACCATCGTAATCTGGGGAGCGTCTGTATTACAGAGATCTTGGTATACCATGCTGGTCCACAAAGTGTCTTTGGACTGTAATATGAATGACCTATGTCAGAAGATGGAAAACATCCAGACCCAGGTTACTATGATATGCAGAAGTTGATGTGTGTGTGTTTGTGTGTCTGTCAGTGAGGACCGGGTAATGGAGCACTACAAGAAGCTCAGCGGTCAGTCCAGAGGACAAGCCATTGTCAAGTGAGTATAGCCTATAGAGGAAACTCACCTTCAGGCACCACCATCTTCCAAATCAAAAATTAATCGCACCATGTAACCGGACTTTAGACCTTGTTGTTCTGATCCAAATGGACTGACATGGAAGCCACGTGTCCACTCCTTCTTCTCATTTTCAGTTACATGAGCATAGTGGAGTCTCTCCCCACCTACGGAGTCCATTACTATGCCGTGAAGGTAGGACTGCGTGACGCTTCTGTCTTAAGGGCCGGGGAGGTATTAGGTTAAGCTGCAGTATTAACCGCACCGTTAAGATTTCAGTGGCATTAGTTAGTTAAAGATCATAGAATCGGCCATAAGCCAGCTACATGAAATGCATCCAAATCAGTCCAGTAAGACTGTAAAAGTCCATCTTGTATGTTGAAACATACGTAATGAAGACCAGCTGTGAAAGACGTGGGAAATAAGGGAGAGCCGCGTCCTCTAGCATGGCTCAGTAGAAGGACCTCAGAAGAGCGCAGTTAGCATGGATGGGGGATGCATGGTGTATAAGAGCTTCTGAGTGACCCTCCTCTCCAGGGAGACAACATTAATGGCAGGGAGTAAACTGGCAGTTTGACCTGGTTTTAAAGCTCTTTGAGGCCCATTTGCACTAACACCTGTGGAGGCAGGATAGTGTGACCCAAGTGTGCTCTCCCTTCAAGTGTGATCTCCCTTCTCTAATGCCTGAATCTGCTCACTGGTGTGACAGGACAAGCAGGGAATCCCGTGGTGGCTGGGGCTGAGCTACAAAGGGATCTTCCAGTACGACTACCAGGACAAGGTGAAACCGAGAAAGGTGAGCATACCCCGTCTGTCCGGCAGAGCTGCTCGTTCACACCGTCCACAACAACGGTAATCAGTTCACAGGTCCAGTGTTCAGTACACAACGCATTGGTGGATCATAATATCAGACAACACATTTTGTATCGTTCGTTTTTTGGGGTCCTGCCGTCTGATGGATATCACGCATGCCTTTGATTTCCAGATTGCTAATGGCTAACTGGAAATTCAGTCAGCGATCCAGCCATGCAGCTTCGCATTCCTATAGCAGTTACAGTCTGCATCTTGCATCTTGTTGATCAGCTGTGCTTTGCCGTGGCAGTTGTCGGTTTTAGTTCTTGGATGGTATTCAAGCCTTTCTGCCATGCAATTCTGGGAGTCAGACCTCCATTTCCCCCTGGTAAGGACCCCCCCCTCCATCTGGTTTGGGGACCCCACCCTCCTGTGGCGATGCCTTGTCACCAAAGCTGCCTTGTTCTCTTTTCGGTGATGTGGCAGACCGCCGTGTTTATTCAGAGCAACGGTTTCACCCTCAAGCCTAGCATTTTGTTTACAGAAAGTCTTAAGGGTGATAGGTCACTTTGTGCCATTGCCACGAACCCCGTGGTTGCAGACCACGGTTTTGAGGAAAAACAAGAAGCAGGAGGACACCGAAACAGAATCACTTCCTAGAAACCCGACGATGAGCTCGAAGGATGGTTTCTGCTTGGTCCCCTGTCCTTTCAGCGCACGTGTTTTCATTTTAGGCAGACTACAGTAGATGTTTCTGAAACTCAGTAGCCATGAGTATTTCTGTGGTGTGGTTTGTAGCAGATCGTGGCTTCCCTGTGGGACATGTAACCTTATGGGACTTAAGATCTCCATTTTTTTTTGTCAGTAGAGCCGTACTGGCTCTTTGGGCTTCCGTTACATGGACTCAAGGGATGCAGGTCACCGTGGTGACCTTTGGATGTCCCTCCCCCACTCCAACAGATGTCTGATGTAGTCAAGACATTGATAGAAAGGTGGGAATGATGTGGGTCCATAAACCAGCTTGATGATCTGAAATTGGATAGTTTTGAAACAAGGTGCCATGACGGAAACTGTTTCGTCTAACATGTTGCTTGCTAACCTACCCGAAGACACACAGAAGTGAGGCTCAGCTGCTCTTCAGCTGTTGACAGGCGGGTCATGCATTCTTCAGGCATTTTTTGGTTCTTTATGCACCCTAAACCTTCAGGAGCGCACATCCTCATGTCTTTCTGTGTCATCAGTGGTTCAGCCAGTCATAAATAAGGGGCCAGGGGGTAATGGGACTGACTCCCACCTCCACACACTCTTGACCAACCCAACTTGCTCTGGTTTCGTTGTCACCCAGATCATGCTGGAGGGTGGTCGGTGAGGAACAATTTCTACTGGAAGGGCTTCAGAGATCTGCTGCACCAAAGCTCTCAAAGCCACCCCTTGGCCTCACCCCCAGACTGTATTTATCAAGAGAATGTGGGGCAGAAAATATGCTGGAGAGGTCTGAAGGCTGTTCAGTAAATAGAGTTCAAAGCAAAATCAAATCAAAGCAAAAAAAGAGAACAGTTGGAGTAATTCAGATGTGGTCTCAGTTGCAAAATTATACAATCCCACGTAATAGAACTGCTCTGGGGATTACGCTCATGGGGAGGTAAGATGCCGATGTCGTGGAACGGATGTAGGGCTCAGAGAAGCAGAGCGGACTCTGAACCACAGCCAGTCAGACTCAGGGGCCCAGTGACCAGCAGCTGCGAAAATCAAATGGAAAAACAGGACCATTTTCATAGTGCTGCTGACTCAAGAGGATGTCGTAAATTAGCACGAAGGAGACCACAAGTTATCAGGTCCTGAAAGTATGACATTCCAGTGCTGAAAGTGGTGGAGTTTACGAGGGCCACCAGCAAGCCCTGGGCTTCCCTGACCCTCTCGGGAGCCTCACTAACATTACCCCTGAGTCTCAGCTTCCCTTGAGTTCTGGTAGACAGCAAAACATGCAGAGTGCATGGGAACAATTTGTGTTTTTAAGTTTCCTTGGCTGGTGTTATTCATCCTATTTCATTTGAAAAGAGAATCATTCTTTCACTCTTTCACAGCATGTTGGTTAGGCACCTTCACCTTAGTGCCATCACCAACAGTCCACAGTTGATCTCTGAGCTGTTTAAAACTAGTTAAAGGTAGTCTTACCACCTAAAAAGGAGACAAGAAGTGGAAGCCTGGTTATGTCAAGGGCAGTGCCAAAACTACTAAGTGTGTTTGGGCATAGATTCTCAGATGTTGTTGTAAAATCTGAGCTTGGGCTGCATTTGAGGACCTTTTGGGTCGCTCTCCTTTGATCCAGTCATTCAGCTCGACTTGGTGGTAAGTGAAGCAGGGAAACTGTATCTTGGGAATTCTCAGATATTTATTACCGTGGTAACTGCTGTTCCCTCCCCAGCAGCTGCTAAAGAAAGAGCCTCTGCCAAATTTTCAGGACGTCATAAGGAGAGCATCCACGGGAGAGTGCACAGGACTGGAATTCTTCATTTTGGGTTCCTCACGCCAAAGATATAGGCAATACAAATACAGATAGGTGACTTGTCAGGGTTCTGGGGAGACGTCCGCATGCTGCATTGGCGGGAGGAACTGATTATCGCCCGTGTAACTCCTGGGATGCAAACTTCAATTCACCCGGCCTGCTGGAACTACAGCAGTCACGTTACATTTTATCTCTGCCCGGGCCACCTATCATCAGTCTCTGTGTCAGCCTGCTCACTTTCCCCCCTGCCGCCTTAAACCCGTGTGTCATTTAACCCACAATCCCAATGAACAGGGCCACCGCGTTTGGGCCAAGACGTCGCCAAAATCGGCCTTTTTGTACTCTTCGAAATTCCCTCAAGAAGAAATCAATCCTTCGCTTTGTCTCAGCAGCAGCTGGATAGGTGGAGGTGGTCAGGGTCCTCTCAAGAGATTTTGGGGACATGCTCAACATAATCTTGGCAGCACTGACACCGATGTGATCATTAACCCAAATGATTAACTCCTTCGGTTGACGTTAAGTCCAAAGTATCCCACAATTGGTAGAAACGGCCCTGTGCTGCCACAGAAGTATGCAGCATGATTAAAGATGGCGTGAATCTTAAGAAACGTGGGGTTTGTTTGTTTTTTATGGGTGCCTCTCAGAGGTGGAGGCGGTCGTGGGAAACTGGAGGGAGGTCCGCCTAATGAATTCAGGTCTCAACCTCGTGGAACCCACCTCCCCTCCGAGCGGTCGGGAAACCTGGGGGGAACCATGAGCCAGATTATGGGGCTTGGACCGAGACATGGTGACATGCTGGAAATATTAGTGGGTCCCCCCCCCATCCCTGTAATGGGAGTGCATCCGGCTAAGATCGCCCTGGGATATACCATTGTGAGGGAAGCGGGGGGGGGTCACATACTCCAAAGGGCAGCCGGGCGCTTGGCAGGAATCACTTTTAGGAGGAGCTAATGGGGGGCCATGACCCCCCCTGGGTGGGGTGGGGGGGGGTTGACTAAAGAACTGCATGAAGACAAGGAGAATGGTACACGACCAGGTAGTCTATTAATACCTGGCAGTTCATTCGTTCGTGACCCCTTCTCCTCTTTCCAGATTTGGGAGGTTTTCAGCACCGTTCTTTGTGCCCAGAGGGCTGGAAGGATTACACTGCCGCCAGTGTTCATCCTGCGAGGTGATTTGGTCTTAAAGATACGATACAAGCCGCAACCCTCATTGTAAATCCATCAAAAAATGACCAAAATGCATTCCAGACGGATGCAGACGTAGGAAGAAATTGCCGGGATGGTATAGCCTTCCTCCAAAACAGGATTCTTATTGGATGCTGATTAGGTGGTGAACTGAGAGCATCGGAGTCCTCTCGGTGCAGTCAGGATGAATCAGCAGTTACGGGATTAATCGAAATTATGAAGCTGGCTGAAAGCGTTTTACTGAAAAGGCGACGGTTCAATCGGGCGTGAAGACAGGTAGAGCTGATTGTGGCATGTAGGGCGGTTCAAGTACGCAGAGAACATTCTAGCAATGTTCACAGCCATTTGCATTCCAGGGGAGGGAAAGGAGCATCTGCCCAGTTTGTATGTGGACCTCCCGCTTTCCCCCAGTGGCTATCAGCCAAACTTCAACTTTAACCTCTGTAACCTCTGCTTTTAACGCCTCCCTAACACTATATTTTTCGGTTGTGCCGTTGCCATGGTAACAAGGGACACAAGGCAACCTCGAGTGTCAGACCGAAGATAAATATGAGGTGGGGTCTGCTGCAGCTTGGAGCTACCCCAGGAAGCTGAGATGAAAGATGAATTTTTGGTGGGGAAGGGGGGCATCTGGGGGGGAGGGGGGTTAGTGTCTTCATGGATTGGCGTCACACTGGAGCCAGGATTGTGTCAGGGGTCTCCCTGAGCCAAGTCCACCCCCCCTACTGCCCCAACTCCAAGCTCCTGTCAAACACTGTTGTTCTTGGTCCTAACAAACAGGCCCTTGGCCCTGAAATAACTCCCTTCATTCGCAGCAAACGCCGAACCCTGAAAGGCCGCCTCTTTGTGCTGAAGCCCTAGTTTTGCTTCCTGTCCAGGCGGGTGTTTTACACAAATCGATTTCATTCAATAGGATGAGTTAACTAGTTCTCCTAAAAAAACACTACGGCTTTGAGTTTACAAAACTGTTCATTAGTTTTGGGTTATATAACCCACTCCCACATTTTTCTAGTTAGGCTGTAACTTGAGGGGTAAATTTGTAATTTAGATTCAGTCTGCAGTGGCTCAATGTTGACAGAAAGGCTGATCCTTCAAGAAACGCACGTTTCCTTCCCCCTGCCTGTCTGTCACCCTTTTGGGCCTGTCAACGCCGTAAATTGTTTAGTCGTGGAAACCAGCGAGTAGGACTTCCGAGTTCAGTCACCGCAAGTGCATTTTGTCTCCTGGGGCTTTTCTTCCTACAGCAGGCTCCCCAGTGGAAAGTGTTTCCCAATGGAAGTTTGCTCTTTTTTCCACTGAAGAGGGTCTTTGAAAAGACGCTAAACAAAACAGAGAGAGCTTCTTCTCCGTGGGGCTGAACTTCTCCGTGGGGCTGAACTTCTCCACTATGCTGTGACCCCGCCCCCCTGAGCCAGAGTGAAATGCCAGAGCCTGCTGTTGCAGGAAGCGTGGTCCCACTGGGAGGTGGGAGGGGTCGGGCAGGAGGCGGGACAGGCAGTCCCCCCCCCCCCCATAGAGGAAGTGTCTCTGTGCTGTGGCTTTACATTCCCAGGGCTGAGGCTGCTGCCTGCTCACCAGTCCACGCAACCCCTGACAGATTTTACTCCCACAAGGAGGGGGGCAAATGGGTGGGTCGGCTGTGTCGTTTTAGCCAAACAGGGCTGGGGGCGGGGGGGGGGGAATGCTGGGGGGTGGGAAACCGCTCACCAGAAAAGAAACTCCACCCCCTAGGAGCGGAGAAGTTCTGGACGGAGCAGAGAGTCGCGGAGCCTGGATATGATCAGCTCCAGGGGTTTGGCGGTGTGCGCCGCTCAGGATGTAACGTGGGAAAGACGGGACGAGGGGGCAGAGTGACGCGGGCCTTTCTCTCTCCCACACCCCAGGTCTTCCAATGGAGGCAGCTGGAGAACCTCTACTTCAGAGAGAAGAAGTTTTCCGTGGAAGTCCATGACCCTCGCAGGTAACTCTATATAACAACTCCCGGCCGTGGTTAAACTCCTGACGTTAACTTTATCAGCTCGTGCAGTTGGGAGGGAATAACCAGCTACCTTGTAGTATTTTTCTCTCTTTATACTTTTATGTTCTGCAGTTTCAATCCTGTAAACAATTGTGCTGAAAATACTCTGTAGAAGTACACTGTGTGTAAATGATGAGTTGTTATTGTTATAGTGCTGTTTCTGAAGCTCTGTAAATGTGGTAGGTCTGCGCTCGAGGCTCCAGCATCGCTGCTCTGTTTTAACACGTCTCCTGTGATGTGATCCTCTCGCTGGTGTTCCTCTCCCTGTGCCGAGAGCACTCGTACATCTCAGACATTTGATTGAATGCCCCCACCCCCCCCCCGTAACCCCCCAGGCAGCGATGCAGAGCAGATCCCTGTCGTCTCGGGAAAGCACGTTTTGGGGTTACTTTGTATGGGGGTCCCCCTCCCAGTCCGATCTCACTCGAATAGGCTTCAAGGAGAGTAGCTCTGCCCCCCCCACCCCCCAAAAAAATGAGTTCCATCAAAAAAAAAAGATAGAAAGTGACAGTTTCTCGCCTGATTGTTGCTGCTGGAAATGGCCCCCACCCGAACCCGATGGCTATCAGCGTCGCGTGCGGAAACAAACATCATTTTCAGCCAAGTGCAGTGAGCCGGGAGATCGCTTTTGCAATACACCCCAGCTGTTAAACAGAATGAGAAAGATGCTTGTCTGTTAGACAGCGGCCTGGGGGAATTGTGGTCAGTCGCGTTTGACTGCAGGGCGGGGGCACGGGGGGCAATGGGCAACTTTGTGGGGTGAAATTAGCAAAGATGGCGTGCTGATTTAGTTTATCAGCTGAAAGTTGGGAATTACCACTATTACTAAATTGGTATTTGTTCTACAGAAGCTGCACATTGATATGAAGTAACTATTTAAAATTTGTAATGGATTTTTAAAGTCACACAGTAGAGTCAGTAGGGATTCCATTCCACGCCTCCAGCTGTTCTGCCTGATTTCATGACGGTTGTTCTTTGGGTACCTCGATTCCTCTCACAGCCCAGAAACATGTGGTTACTCTAAACCACCCATAGAGCGTCATGATTGCGTGCGTGAATGTGTTCCCTGTGGTCGAGTGGCATCCTGGTGCCACCCGCCTCATATTCTAAGTATCCTGGGACAGATTCTGGGCTTACGGTGTCCATGTACCAGATCAGCCGCTTTAGAAAACGGACGGATGGATTTAATCTATGACATCATTATTAGGTAAAATGGCTGTTTCAGTGAATATAAAGTGGAATCGTGTTTGACCTAACTGCAGGGCGTCGGTGACCCGAAGGACGTTTGGCCACAGTGGGATCGCAGTGCACACCTGGTACGCCAGCCCCACCCTGATCAAAACCATCTGGGCCATGGCTATTAGCCAGCACCAGTTCTACCTGGACAGAAAACAGAGCAAGGTCAGTGCTTGCGTGTGTGGAAAACATTATAATAAAAGTTTTTAAACAGCAAACAATGTCTGGTCTAGCAGAGATGTTCCACTGTGGGGGTTTGATACAGCGGGGGGGGTTGTCTGTTTCCACGTTGGGTTGTGGGTTTGCTAATGGGCATTGCGGCATTTTGGCACGTGGTTCAGGCTCTAATATGTTGAGCTCGATCCTTTCTTAAGACATCTGAAGCCATCAAAGGTCCACTTCTTTCAACTGGAAACATTTGCTTTTATTTTTCAGTCTAAAATCCACGCGGCAAGGAGCCTGAATGAAATAGCAATTGACTTGACAGAAACGGGAACACTGAAGACCTCTAAGTTGGCCAACATGGGCAGCAAGGGCAAGATCATCAGCGGTAGCAGCGGGAGCCTTCTCTCCTCAGGTGAGCATGGGCCAACCAGCCCTCACCCAAGTTCTGAGCTCAGACCAACCAGGTTTCACTGTAGTACCATGTTTTGACCAACCAGGCCCCGCGTTAAATACACGGCCTTTGAATGTGGCCAGACCATGGTCTACCTACTAGTGGAAATCAACTTGGTACAAGAGATGGCCCCAGTGATTCAAATTGATGTATAGTAACCTTGCAGAACATTCTGGATCTCCAGCTTGTTTGCAAAAGCTGAAACTGATCAATTTAGAGTATCATTTCCACATTGTTTTTAGCCTGTTTTCATATCGTGTCCGTTACCAATGCAGCTGCCTTGAAGCATTTCAGTAACTTTTCGAATGATAATGTCCATTAATTAATGTTCCCATTGGGATCCCAAACACCGTGCCTGTGACTGCGACCACAATGCTGGAAGAAGGAGACCATGTGCAGAATGACCTGGAGCCCCAGTGTCTCCCTGCTGTTGATTTAGCAAGGTCTAGGTTTCACTTCTTTGTGTGTAGAGGTCTACATAGAAAATGCTTCCTAATTAGGGTCATTGTTTCTGCTGAGATCATCCTGTCTGCTACAGAGGGAGCCTGTCTTGGTTTTCCTACTGTGGAGTTGACCAGAAGCAGAAAAACAGCTGCTGGGGTTGTTTGGAGTGGCTTAGATGTGTAAATGTGCAAACGTGCTCAGAAGGTTTTTAGCCTGGGTGTAAACAGTTATGTCGGCCATGTTTGGTTTGTGGATGTGCGTAACAGCTCGCTGGACAAGGTTAATAGATGAGGTTAAGCTGTGTGAAGCAGTCTGCTTACAAGGAACTGTGAGCTTTTGCAAGCTTTAAATATTTATAAAACTAACCGTGCGAGTTTCTTGGCTGGGGACAAGCTACAAACTCCCCTTACATGTTTTCTTAGCCTTTGATGGATACATAGGTTTGCCATAACGGGAATAATTAGAGTCAGCATTGTGCAAGCATGAGCTTTTGATGGCAGTTTCGCTAAACCATTATCCCTGAATTTGTAATTCCCACGATTTCATTCAAAATTGAACTATTTTCAGTTCTTTCAGTGATCCCAGTAAGAGCCGCGTTAAGACTGTGCTAACAGGAACTCTGCTGTCGTTGATTTCCTGGCATGGCGCGGCGATCCGTGTAACTCGGCACAGTCTCCCGCTGTCCGGCAGATCCAGTGGTCTTACAGAGGTTTTCCCTGCGCCAACATTCCAGCAGACCACAGTGCGGTACACGGCTTGGGTGGAGAGTGAGTTCGCATCTTTGTCCTGGGAAACGGGAACTGAAACATCGGCCCTGCCTCTTGCTCGTGTAATTCGAAGGAGTAAAAATGTCACCTAAGAAGCGTTCAAAAAGTCCCTGCATCAGTCCTGCAGGAAGACTTTCTAGGGAACTTTGGGAAGGCCCGGCACCCCAGACTGACTGTGCCAGAGGGGGTGCCCTGCCCCCACCCTCTAAACCTCTGAGGGACAGGATGTTGGGCTACCCAGCCTGTGGGCAGGGAAGCGAACAAACATCCTGAGAGCCGGGGGGGGGGGCCCTACTGGCCTATAGGCCAACTTTATTAACCAATGGGAGATCTAGCTTATCTGCTCCCTCTTTCCACTGAGAGAATCTGAGCAGTCAGGGACTCGTGTTATTCCCTGAAACCACAGGCAGGGTGCGTGTCATTAGTAATCATCTACAATACCTCCAGAACTTCAATTGATAATGGTATCTTGTCTTCACCTTCAGTTGTAGAGAACTTTGCCTCGTTTTGAGTCAGTAAGACTTCCGCCTATATTCCGTCACCTTCTATACGGTCCTGGAATACTACAGTACATATATGTCAGAATACTTCCTGTTCATTCGCTTGTTTTGCGTGAATGAGTGCAAGGCCTTAGAAAACAATTTCCCTAATATGCCCCCAAGCTCTCCCTGTCCTCGTTTATTCGTCATATCAGGCGTAAAGGCAGATTACTTTTATTTTGAAAGGTGTCGTTAGCTGGTAAGATGATCCTCAGCCAGTCTGTGGGTCGGCAGTTATTGATGAATCACCCTGCAGCTTCCAGCCTGTCCATGGTTCCCTTCTGCACACGCTCAGAGCGTTACGTTTCGTGGAGCTGCTGTGCCAAGGAGAAACTTTGAGGTAAATGTTCTTAGAAAAAAGTTGACACCGGCGGGCCTCGATCCCGCAATTAGCACGATGAATTGGCCCTGCAATTCACAATTCAAACGGCACAAGGGCAGGGTGAGTCCGAAAGGCATACAATAGCAGTCCTAAAGAGCTGTGTAGAAACTCCACCTAGTTACCGGAGCCCACAAAGGAAATCGGGGACAAGGGAATGTAGGCCATTCTGCCAGGTTCATTGCGGACAAATACGAACAGGGGGAAAAAAAACACTCCAAGCCGCATTGTTACAACTTTCCTGTTGTTTTCCCGTCAGAGTTTCATGGTAGTAAATGGGCCCCTTTGCTTAATCCTCCCTTGTTATGGGGAATCCACATTTGCAAGCGGCTGACCCCAGGCCAGATAGACTCCCCACGTCACCCAGCTTGCTCAGTGTCTGCAAATTAGGGGGACGTCTTCACGGATGCCTTCCACTCATCTGCAGCCTGTTGTGTAGGAACAGCTACAGTATGGTCTTCTCCCTTATTAGCTGAAGTATCATTATGTGAGGTTGCTGGTTTAGGGTGTGTCAGAACTTAAAGAGGAAGAACAGACTTAGTTGGGGTCTATTTAGTTAATTCATATGGGTAAGGTGTCCTAAGTTGTCTTTGCCCCCGCCCCCTCCCTGTGACTGACCCCCCTTCCTGTCCCTAAACCTCATTATTGAAAGAAAGTATTTCTCAAACCCACGTAAACATCCTGCCAGAGGGTGCAGATGTAGCACGCAGTATCCCGTCAGGATGCGGCTCGCATTATCTGACTGCTTGGAGAGAGAGACACAGACACCAAACCCCCACCCCGAGTGAGCAATACTTTGTCCTTTTAACTTACAATCGAACATGATGGGGACACAGTTTCCGCCTCCGCTTTGAGCATCAACATCACACATGACGTAGCATCGGCAGAAAGGTCACTCGTCATCAGAGCTAACTTTTTCTATGGATTTCGTTCTTGTCGTTCCTGTGCCAAACTTCCTGGTAGCGGCTCATGACCAGTGCCGTCCGCAGTGATCTCCATCTTCAGAGGTCGTGGGGCTGCTGCCTGGCGGGTGGAGCGAATAATTATGGTGTCCCTGAACAGGCTCCCAGGAGTCTGACAGCTCCCAGACGGCCAAGAAGGACATGCTGGCTGCGCTCAAGGCCAGACAGGAAGCCCTGGAGGAGACCCTGCGTCAGAGGCTGGAAGAGCTCAAGAGCATCTGCATCCGTGAGGCGGTAAGAGCGCCACCTGCAGGTTTCTGTAGCACATTTCATCTCTCATAATCACAGACTTCTCCAGCTGGTTTCTTTAATATGGAAACACAAAAAAAAGCCATTAGCAGACTGTGATTTATTTGTTCTTGTAGTCAGAATCCTAAGGATGCCACTAGAAGGGAGGTTTCTCTCTCTCATGCTTTTTCCGGAACCAGGAGCTGACGGGGAAGCTTCCCAAAGAGTACCCCCTGGAGCCAGGAGAGGAGCCACCCATGGTGCGCCGCAAGATTGGCACGGCCTTCAAGCTGGACGAGCAGAAGATAGTCCCCAAGGGAGAGGTGAGAGTGGCCATATGACACAGTGGGGGTGGGGGGGGGTCTTCTCTGTGGAAGTCTACTGTAAAGTCTGCTGGTATCACCAACCCAACCTTGACCTCAATATACCCATCCTGACGGAGTTCCTTTATTCTTCATTGTTTTCTTTTTCTACAAATAGCCTTGTTTTATTTGAAGGAAGCTGCGATAGAGAAACTGCGCATTTTGAAACTAGGCCAAAGGAAAGGAATTTATACGGGAACATCGGCATGGTTTGCAAATTTACGAAGCCCAGTGACTCTGGACTTTGCCAGACTTCAGAGTTTTAGCTTGATGAATACAGTTTGCTTGAAGTCCAACGTGGAATCACTAATGTAACACATCACCACACATGTGTTTTCTGGGAGGTGCAGTGATTCTACTCCTCTACTCCTGTCTGGTCTAAGAATAGCAGCTCTGGCCGGTTTTGCTACCTACTGTGTTTCTGGGCCTCTGCCCTAGACTTGAGGTCACAGGCAGTGTAGTCATCCAGCCCACAAACACGAGGGAGCCAGCGATCGGCATGGAAACCACTACTGCTGTTCTCTTAAACCTCCACCACCCCCTCCCCCCTTGATAAATGGCATATCCCGGGCTTCTTATAGCGGCAGCGAGACTGCACTGCAAATTTTCACAAGCAGGTGGTAGCAAGGGATGCCTTAAAGTTTCAGAGGACATTTTACAGCTAAGTTTGACTCTTGTACAGTAAGTCAGCCTGTTGAATGCAAAGGATCTTGTCATGTGGCCCGAAGGGCCGGACAGCTGGGATTTGCCAAATCAATCCAGTATATACCAGATGGCAGCGAGCATTTCTGTTTCAGGGTTGTGGCCCAACATGGCTTGAGCAGTGCCAGGCAATGAGAGAGCATGGTCCATTTGTGACAAGGGGCAAGATCTGACCAGCTGTAATTTCTTGGTCCTGGCAGGAAGAGGAACTGGAGCGACTAGAGCGGGAGTTTGCCATCCAGTCGCAGATCACGGAGGCGGCGCGGCGACTGGCCAGCGACCCCCACGTCACCAGCAAGAAGCAGAAGAAGCAGAGGAAGACGTCCTACCTCAATGCCCTGAAGAAGCTGCAGGACATTGAGAACAGCATCAACGAGTACCGCGTACGGTCTGGGAAGAAGCCCACTCAGCGGGCCTCGCTCATCATCGAGGGTGAGTCAAGGGGTTACCCCAAGGGTCAAAATCATCAAACATGGACCAGATGAGGTTTAAACACTTGAGTTGATCTCCTCAGTGAAAACTCTAACCTCTCAGCTTTTGGTGAATGCATTTAGTCTTGTTAGCCTAAACCAAATTTCCCTTCAAAGACCAGCTATTTGATGTTTTTTTTCCCATAATTGGTGGAATGAGGGGGCTGGTGTTGATGGAACATAGCAGATATGTAGAATTGCCAAGGGCCCTTCAAGGAGAGTTTTGAGAACCACTGGACCAGAAACACCAAGGCTCACTTACATTGTCAAATTAAACACCTCAGGAATGAACTGTATGTACCGTTGATCATGTTCCTAACAAAGATACAGATAAGCTCGGTCGCGTGATTCATTCCCCAAGCTTCTCAGTTAACAGACATTTACACAGACGTGGTTCCTGAAATAGCATGTTTTAGGTGCTGGAAAATGAAAGCTCTCCATGCTTAAAAAAATAACACAGAGGGCAGCGCAATAATACAATTTCCTGTCATTGCAAGATCAAAGACCACTGAAACAATTATCAAGAGATTTTTGTGAGTAGATGTATTTGGGGAAAAAAAGGTTTAAAAGGTTATCGTACCATTCTATTAATAACTGCTGTAATCTTTAGATTTGGGATAATGTGTCATTTCCCCCCTGCAAAAAAACTGTACAAACACAAAGAAATGTAAGGGCGTCCAGGACTCAAGTGAATCGTTAGGAAAATAAACGCAACGTCCGGCGTGCCTGTGTAATAGCACAGGTCTTGGGCAGATGAGAGGCCGGGGTTAATTGTGGGAGGCAGAGTTTGACACGACACAGAACAAATGGTGGACCTCACAGTGGAGTTAGTGCGGTGAGCACACTTGTAAATATTTATCATAAGGTAATAGGTGTTTGCATGCCTAAAAGCTTCCTTGAGAAGAGGACCATCGGGTGTTTAGTCTAGCTAGTTGGCTTCTCTCGGGGAATATTTTCCTGTTTTACGAGTCGGCTTCAGCAACCTGACATACGGATGGCTTCTTGTACCCCCTTTGCAGAGGCAAACATTGGCTCTGAAGACAGCTCCCTCTCCGACGCCCTGGTCCTCGACGATGGTACGTGGCTCCGCGTTTGACCAAAAAGCAGCGTTTTCTCTTGTTGGAGCGGTTCATTTCCGCTCACGGTCAGCCTACAGTTGTTGGAGCGGTTCATTTCCGCTCACGGTCAGCCTACAGTTGTTGGAGCGGTTCATTTCCGCTCACGGTCAGCCTACAGTTGTTGGAGCGGTTCATTTCCGCTCACGGTCAGCCTACAGTTGTTGGGACCACCCTGCTTGAAAAGCAATTCAGCAGAATAAAAGTCTCGAAAAACATGCAGCCAGCTGTTATTACTATTTCAAGAATCTTGGGCATACTTTTCAGGATCAGTTCATGAACTGAACTGAATGAAATGATAGTAAAGGTGGGGATTCGCTCACTGCTCCCTTTTCTGTCTCTGCTCAGACGACCCCCAGGTGACGCCAACCTTCTCCCCGGCGGCCTCCCCCCACCGCGGCCTGCCCCCCCGGCCCCCGTCACACGGCAGGCCCCCACCCCCGCAGTCCCTGGAGGGGCTTCGGCACCTGCACTACCAGCGCTGCGACTACGACAAGTCGCCCATCAAGCCCAAGATGTGGAGCGAGTCCTCGCTGGACGAGCCTTACGAGCGCGTTAAGAAGCGCTCCTCCCACAGCCACTCCAGGTGGGTGCCGGCCAATGGGCGGGCTGCTGGCCGTCAGCTGACACTACCGCTGGCACGTCATTGGCCTTGGATTTTGTAGTGCAGCCTGGGCTTGGGATTCTGTTTCCTTTTGCTCCTCCCGCTACATCTAACGCGACGTGTTTGGTCTGCGAATGGCGCTCATGTCATTCACTCCATAAACACACCCAGACGTGGCGCTTTCGCTAACCGCACTTTGATGTGAGGCCTGTGCTCTGTGTGTGGGGGAGGGGGCAGCAGAGTGATGGGATGCTGTTGGTCTTCCCCACAGCCACCGGCGTTTCCCCAGCACGGGCAGCTGTGCGGAGCCCGGGGGGAGCGGCTCCTTGCAGAACAGCCCGGTCCGCGGCCTCCCCCAGTGGAGCTCCCAGTCCAGCATGCCCTCCACGCCTGACCTGAGGACGCGCACCCCCCACTACATCCACTCCACCAGGTTAGCTGCCGGCACCAGCCCTAACCCCCCCAGGTTATCCACTCAAGGGTGGCAAAGAGCCCGGAGCCCATCCCAGACGGCGTGGGGGGGTGCAAAACGGGCCACTAAACTCACATTACAGTTCAGTCTCAGTTGAGCAGGTCGCCAAAGTTCGCAAGATAACAATGCCTCCATTTTTAGCAAGCAGACTCACAAGGCCCCCACCCCAGGAGGCTCAGAGTGTAGCACAGGGGAGTACAGCCTCGGTGGAGGGTGCAGATAACTACTAGGCTATGTTTTTTATTCCGTTTGAAAGGCTGTGTTTCCTGTGCCCAGTGCTGGCACTAGTTGACAAAACGATCGGCATTCCCCACCCACCCTCACCCCAAGGCACCGGCGGTGAAACCTGCCTGGGGCACCTCACTGGCTATGGTTCCAAACAATTTTCCTGTACCCCCCCTCCCACCCAGGTCCGTGGACCTCAGCCCCACACGGCTGCACAGCCTGGTCCAGCACTTCCGGAACCGCAGCTCCAGTTTGGAGTCGCAGGGCAAACTGCTGGGCCCGGAGTCGGACACGGGCAGCCCAGACTTCTGCGGGCCGGCGGCGCGCAGCAGCAATGGCTCTGACGCACCAGACGACTGCTCGTCCTGCACCAGCCACTCCAGTTCGGAGCATTGCTACCCAGCACCCTGCAGCGCCAACTACTCCACGCTGGCTGAGGACTCGCCCTCCAAGGCCCGGCAGCGGCACAAGTCCAGCGGGCACCTGGGCTCCTCCAACTCGGGCAGCATGCCCAACCTGGCGGCCCGTAACGGTGGAGGTGGCGTGGGGCACCACGGCGTCTATCTGCACAGCCAGAGCCAGCCGTCATCGCAGTACCGTATCAAGGAGTACCCGCTGTACGTGGAGGGCAGTGCCACGCCCGTGGTGGTGCGTAGCCTGGAGAGCGACCAGGAGGGCCACTACAGCGTCAAGGCCCAATTCAAGACCTCCAGCTCCTACACGGCGGGTGGCCTTTACAAGGAAGCCTGGCGCGACGAGGGTCCCGAGGGCTGCCGCCTGCCGCCGTCGCGCTCGCAGGTTGTACGGACTCCCTCAGTGGGCCGCGAGGGCGGGGCCGGGGGCGGGACCAGGACCGCCGTGTCCGAGGAGCTCCGGTGCTGGTACCAGCGCTCGTCCAGCTCGCTTAAGGAGCGCGGCAGCGGCTCGCACAGCGGGTCCAACACACCGGAGTATGGCACACTGCAGGGCCACGCCTCCCGCACTGGCACACTGCAGGGCCACGCCTCCCGCACTGGCACGCTGTCCCGGGCCTCCACAGGTGAGCCTCCATTTGCGCCACATATCTCACATGCCCTGCGGTTGGGTTCGCCTGCCCGTGGGCGGCCGCAACTCGAGCCGGCCCCCCTCTCCCCCTGAAGCATTCCTGTAGGGCATCTGTACATTGTTCACAGGCAGGGTGGTCCATCAAACAGGCTATAATGTGGACACCCCCCACCCAGATCCCCTCCCCTACTCCCCCCCTCCTCACAGTCTGCCCATTACGTCTCTGTGTGTTTAGACCAAGGCCATGGACATAGCTTATTCCTGGCATGCCGTAATTCCTGAGTATGCACGCGATCCGTCCCTGCACCTCCGTTTCCGGTCAAAGTCACCGAAGGAAAATTCCTCACAGCCGGCGTCATCTAGGTAGAATCAACCTCCCGCAAAAATCGGCTTATCTGTCCCGCGGCGTTGTTAGCCGGGTGAATTCGGCACACGCTCCTGGCCTGCGAGGCCGGCTCGCTCTGTCTCGCGCGATAAGAGGGAGCCGGATTCAGAGTCACGGGCTGGGTGCCGTCCAGCCCCCTGCTGGGGCTGCCTCGAGTCGTCTTCTGCACATCTTCAGCCAACATTAGATCATCCATCCGTCTTCCAGCCACTTATCATGGTCAGGGCGGGCCTGCCGGCTGCATCGCTTGCAAGGACTTTCTGCTGTCCAAAAAACACCGCTCCCATACATTAAATCTGTCGTCATATCTCCTGGCGTTCCCACGACCCCCCCCCCCCCACACAGCTGTAATCGAATGCAGCTGTGGACTGCATCGTTTGAGATAAAATGCATGTCCTGGGTCATATCCGGCACTTCTCCTCTCTGACTGTAGGTTTTTTTTTTTTTAATGCAGTGCCGCATTAAATGCAGCGCACTTCGATGGTCCCTCACAGCTGGGTTCAGGGTGTGGCTCTCGTCACCAAAACTCGGGGGATGGGGGTCAAATCCCCATCACTGACACTCAGCAGGATTTAGGAGAAAATGCCTATGTCCGAATTCAGGGGCTGCATCCTTCCAAGGTTGCATTCAAGGGCCGAATGTGTCACAGTGGTGTGACAAGGCTGTCCCATTTCGAACACTCCTTCAAATACGGCCTGGAAATGTGTTATTCTTTTGTCGAGATTCCAAGATTCATCACATGAACCTTCGAAGGACGCAGCCTACAACGCCTACATTGACCATGTCCTTCGAAGGATGCAACCTCTGAATTCGGACGCAGCCAATGCGTATCAGTCGGCACCTGAAAATCCAGGGGCGGAGCCTGAATGTCCAAATAAAATCCTCGTGCTTGGGGACCTCACTTGACGTTAGAATTTCGGCCAGCTGGCAAACAGTAACAGGAGATGACATCACCCCGACCGCCACCTGACCCCTGCGTGTGTTTGTGTTCTCTGCAGCTTCGCCTCTCAGCCACAGGAGCGCCACCCCCTGCAGTGAGCCAGCCGCCACGCCGCCCCCCAGCAGCCCACAGCATATCCTCAGCTGGCAAAGCGGGTACGAGCCCCCCACCCCCTCTCCCCCTGCTTCCATCCTCCCCCCTCATTCTCATCCACCCATTTTTGAAGAGGCAGGGGACAAAAGACTGCCTCGAATTGCCCGATCACCCCCATGACGCATTTCAGACATGTGGAACATTCTAGAATTTTATTTTCCTGCTGATGTCCAGCTCCACCCCACTGTTGTATAAATGCGTGTGGAACTGGGGGTCTTGGGATAACTTAAAAACTTTTTTTTTTTTAAGGTACAGATAACATTAATATAGTGGGACCAAGGGTCAACCGCTACAGAGCGGTGTCCTAATCCGATGCTATCATAAACACGCTCGCCTGCCGTATCAGATGGTAGTTCGGTTTCTGACTCGCATGCCTATGTTTATATGTGCCAAGTTAAGCGATATCCAGGACAATTAGGGGGCAGAGGAAGTCGGGGCTTGGCGAGAGGGTCTGTTTATTCTGGATCTGTGGACTGGACGTTAAAATAGAGCAGAAACCCCAGCCTTAGAATAGGCTGCTTTTTTTCAGAGCTCTGTGCTAAAACCAGCAACTCCCCCCTGTGTCTGTAGATTTGGTGATGATCCTGTGCCTGTAGATTTGGTGATGATCCTGTGCCTGTAGATTTGGTGATGATCCTTTGCCTGTAGATTTGGTGATGATCCTGTGCCTGTAGATTTGGTGATGATCCTGTTCCTGTAGATTTGGTGATGATACTGTGCCTGTAGATAATCCTGTGCCTGTCCTTGTGGTTCAGTGGAGGAGTTCTGTGTGTCCTGGCATGCCAACGCACCTTCGTAGACCAAGGATTGCACCCCCTCCCACCCTGAAGCCGTCAGACTCCCAAACTCTAACTGCTAACTGTGTGGCCCTCCTGCTGTTTCCACCCCCCTTACTAACCCCTCCCAGGCTTGACTTTCCTCTCCACTTCTTTTGGTTTAGAGACACGGCAGAAGGCTGTCCCTCTGAGGAACACCCTCAGTCTCCAGCTCACCAAAGTACTGACGCTTAGAGGTACAGTACAGGCTCTGCCCCCCCCCCCCCATCTGTGTCTCCCAGCATGCACTTCTCTGTCCAACTTTAACCCCCGCTAGCTCTGGCACCTAACATCCTCCTCTTACACCATCTTCTGTTTTTTGTCTTTAAGCTGATTAAACCGCCCTGCTTAATTAATCGGCAGCCTTAACGCCAAAGAACCGTTATATTAATAACTTAAACAACAGTGACAGTAATAAAGAGCTAACGGAATGGAACACACAGCTGTGCCGGAATGCGGGATATGCGTGCGACGTGTTTCACCTGGCAGTTTTGGGTACATATTAGTAACAGGGACCAAGTCCCATGACGTTCTGATCACTGTTTTTCCAGCTACTTCGGCTGCCCTTGACGGAGGCGATACAGAGCCCCTATGTCAGGGGTGGGGAACCTGTTCCATGGAGGGCCAGTGCAGGTTTTTGGGATGGCCTCTCAATCAGCCAATAATAAAACAGTGGTTCTCAACACCAGTCCTGGGGACCCACTGTTATTGGCTGATTGAGAGACCATCCCAAAAACCTGCACCCGCACCGGGCCTCCATGGAACAGCTTCCCCACCCCTGCCCTATATATTTTGGGCCCTTTTGCACTCACTTAATGTGCCTTTTCTTGTAAGTCGGTACTGCCATTAGACATGAGTTATTAGCTAATGACTAACAATTTAGACAGTTAAAACGGGGTGTAAATGAGTTCCGCAGCCCTAACGCTCTGTCTGTCTCCACAGTCCTTTCAGCGACGGCTGTTACCTGGACAGTCCCCTCTTAGCAGACATCCAGTGGTACGGTCGGGAGAAATCCAAGCCTGGGACCCTGGTCTGAACGCTTGCCGTCGACCTCCTCAGCATCCTCAAGACTGACTGGCAAGCTTGCAGGCCACGTTTCCCTTCTTCGGGTGGATGGGACGAATGCTCCCCCTGAACCCCTAGTGGTTGCGCTGAATCGACTTCTCTCAACTCGCCAGGTTCTGCAAAGCCCCCAGTGGTTCAACGGCTCCACCCAGCCCTCATACCAACAGTTGTTGCTGTATGAACGACCGGGTGCCTAATGCCCCCTGCTGGAGCCACAGACGCTAATCTGTAGAGGAGCCAGTGCTTGGATTAGCAGTCTGGCATCCGTATCCAGGTCATCCTCCACCCACCACGCAACGTCGTTCGCGCCGACGCTGTGGGAAATTTTGCAAAGTCGACCCACCTGCTCCGAGACCAGTGTACGTTATTTTTGTTTGCCGTCCTGTCCGGATTTATTTTTGTTTCATTCTGAAGGTGACTTATTCCCTACCCATTGTATGCTTCTCCTCTGGAAATCTTGGAGCTTGACTGGATGATGATGATTCTGACCGTGCCCCATGCTCCACCCCGGAGATGATCCAGGGTCGACTCGTTAATATTTCCCTGCTAACCAAGACCAAGTCAATCCCTTTGACAGGGGTAACACCGGTTTTTCCAGATTCCCACATAGTGCCCCCTGCTGTCTCCGTGTTTTGCACCCCTCAGCCCTCAATGGCCTTTTGTGACCAAAAGTTAAAATCAGTTAATTCCGAGGACCACTGTTGTGCATCGCTTGCACCATAGATTTACTCAGTTGTCTTGGTATCTTTAGGATCCTTTTCAGAGCCCACCCCATCCTGTCACATGATCCCCCGTCATTGGACTAAATCAGATTGTCTTCACATGTGATCTTTTCTCTATGGTGAACCTATCTGTCAGTCAAACCTCAGTACCAATCCTGGTTTCCCGAATGGGGGAGGGTGTCCTTTTTAGAGCCACAGCAGGGTGACAGTGGTGCTATCCCACCTTGGTGCTCCAACGCCCCGTACTGTAATGGCACCAGCAGAAGCCAGCATCGACTTGACCGGTGGCAGATCTCTCCCCCGACCCCCGACCCCCGGCCCGACAAACACCTTGCCTTACCCAACACAACAGGAAGATTTTATCAGCATCTGGCAGTGGTGGAAGAATCCGATCACCAAGCGAACAGCAGCTGATTCCTCACGCACACTACTCCCTGGGTCACTTGTCTGCTGTCCAGATGATTCCGTCAAGTCAAACGTTTCTGCGCAAATGCAGTGTGGTTAGAAAAACACATGGCAGGCAACACTAACACCCATAACACAAATGTTTACAGGATCCAGCCATAGTCACATTATTCTGGCCTTGGAGTTACCTTCAACCTAAAACTGACCATTCCACCGTAAATAATGATCATCCTGCCTTATGGCTTAATGAAATAGACTATAGGGGAAATACTGTATGGCACAAATGGAAATACAGGTTTTTTTTGGGGGGGGGTGGGGGATAAAGGTTGAGGATTTCCAGTTTGACCACAGAAAGCTGGAAATCGACCATGAGGAAGCAGGTTCCCACACGGGTGCTCGTCACTTCGTCACCGTAGTCAAGGTAGCGGTGGAACCTACAGACAGGCCACGATGGTGGGGATGTCGGACATGTATTTGGGACGCAGTGGAAGAACTGGGAACTTTCTCCTTCCACTCCTCTCTGTCTGTTAAATCAGAGGATGCACAGAAGCCATATTCCTGAATGAGGACAAAAAAAGCCTGTTTTCTTGTCGTTGCGGTTTCTTAGCCATGTCCTCCCCACACACCTCCGCTCACATGCTGTGGCCACATTTCCTGTACCTTTAATCACCAGGTGAATACCCCGAATCGAGAAGCACATCTTTATTTTTAGTATGGGTAGAAACAAAAAATAACGTTTTGTGCCCGCAGTCGTTGTTAGGCACACTGAACACACAGGGTCTTTGGATGTCTGTTTTTTTTACCCAACATATCTCAAGTGGGTTTTTCTGGAGTCCTGACTTGCTGTAGAAGATCTGGACAGGGTGGCCGCTTTCTTCACATGCCATGGACCGGAAGCTTTGACGATAGAGGAGGTCTCCTGGGCTTCTTCAGATTTCTGTGACCTTCCTCTGCCCGATCGGAGAAACGGCAGACGTCGTCAGACGCTCAGATCGACAGGCACGTTGCCTTCAGAACGACACGAGCCAAACTGGAGGTGAAGAACCAATTAAATTTATGGGGGACTTTCTATTTGAGGAATGGTGCAAGAACAGTGTTGGTGGAAAATGTGTCTCCGGGTAATCCCTGTGGTGTACACAGTGCCTCTTGTCAGTTCTCCCTTAAAACCTTGTATCACTCTAGTTGTTTATAGTTAATTGATCCATGGCTGGCAACAAACTCATAGCAAATTGAAGGGATTTTGTCCTGTAAGATGATAATTTGCTGTTCGTTACCGAGCGTGGCCCGAAAGGTGCATTGTGGATCCTGAAACGTAAAGTAAGAAACCGTCTACTGTCGGGCTTCCTGAATATAACACATTTAACACATTTCCCTGCCCCTGACCTTAGAACTTGTGGTAATCTCTGATCTCAAAACCAATGTGAGTACAAGCTGTGTCCTCGGATGTTTCATTCTCACCCTATTGCTGTATACGTTGAAAAAAGTTAGCGGTTTTTATATTAAAAGAAAAGTAACTAACATAACATTACTCAGCATTTACTGATGTGGAGGGCAGAGTGTTTTTAAACATTTACCATTATTTTAATGATGATTCTGGGTTTTTTATTTTTAATAAATCAGTATTAGGTTTTAGTTTGAACATTTTAAAAACCCTTTCAGGTGCTACAAGATTACCACTCTCTGTCCTATTAACTAGGTGTAGAATTTCACTTCTACTTGTCAATAGTTCTACTACCAGTTGTCCAAAATGAAGGATGTTAGTGTGAAACTGTACAGCTCATCTCCATCTGACCGTAGGGCATGTTCAAATAACCAGACGAAGATGTATGTTGTAGGAAAAAAAAACAATGTGGAATTGTAAGAAATAATTAATTCCATTGTTAATTTATTCTTTTTTCTATTAAGAATTTGTATAGTAACTTTACATTTTTCAAAACTGTGTTGTTGGCAACTGATAATGAATTTTCCAGATGAGAAAACTCGGTGGTTCTTGAGATAATGAAAATAAATTATTGCTGAATGTTCTCTATATTGAAGTTTTTTAATTTCATTTGTTTTCCTAATTAACCAAAAGCAAAGAGTGATTTTGGTAGGGTCATATGGGAGGAAATACTCAAATTTCATTGCCTCAGTAATTAACTACATTAAGTCATTAAGTATCGATTCTCCAAACAAGGTGTGCTGGTGGAGTTCAGCAAAATGGGTATATTGGATGGTTACCAGAAATACTGCAGTGAGCTTTTGAATTGACTAAGCTGACACGCTTCAACAGACAGAAAATCATAGATTCTCCCCAGCATAATTCAAGGAGAATGTTCTTTGGCAGCCTAAGATTTTTGCACAGTACTATTCGCAGAGTTTACTGACAAAAACCCATCTATCTTACCAAACAGTGACTTACCAAACACTCTAGAGTCTAGACCCAGACCGCACACGTTTATTTTTTAATAGCACATTGAGAGGTATGGGCATAGGTGCTGTAAGAACCGTCTAGACCGGTCTTTGGTGACCCCCCAGACAGTCCAGGTTTTTGCTCCCTCCCGGCTCCCTGCCAAATGGTCCACGATTTTGCTCCCTCACGGCTCCCTGCTAGACGATCCACATTTTTGCTCCCTCCCGGTTCCCTGCCAGAAGGTCCACATTTTTGCTCCCTACCGCCTCCCTTCCAGATGGTCCACATTTTTGCTCCCTCCCGGCTCCTGCCAGACGATCCACGTTTTTGCTCCCTCACGGCTCCCTGCCAGATGGGCCACGTTTTTGCTCCCTCCCGGCTCCCTGCCAGACGGTCCACGATTTTGCTCCCTCGCGGCTCCCTGCTAGATGATCCACATTTTTGCTCCCTCCCGGCTCCCTGCCAGAAGGTCCACGTTTTTGCTCCCTACCGCCTCCCTTCCAGACGATCCACGTTTTTGCTCCCTCACGGCTCCTGCCAGATGGTCCACGTTTTTGCTCCCTCCCGGCTCCCTGGCAAACGGTCCACATTTTTGCTCCCTCCCGGCTCCCTGGCAAACGGTCCACATCTTTGCTCTCTCCCAGCTCCCTGCCAGACAGTCCAAGTTTTTGCTCCCTCCCGGCTCCTGCCAGACGATCCACGTTTTTGCTCCCTCCAACTCCCTGCCAGATGGTCCACGTTTTTGCTCCCTCCCAGTTCCCCAGGACCAGCTTAATCTAGGCTCTTATTTGAATCAGCCTCTCCACCTTAATAATATGTAACCTTTACTGAGTGCCAGTCAGTCTCACCCCACCCCAACCACACAGCTGTGGGGGGGGGGGGGGGGGGG